TAGGATTCCTCTGTACATTGATCAAATACTATATTTATCTTCTTCTTAGAGGCTTGGCATATCAGCTAAAACTATATTATTCCCAATTGCAGAGCTGCTATTGCCAACCGTTGCAGTTGATTTTCTCTAAAAATAGATATATAAATTATATTTAATATATAATATAAATAATAATTATATTTAACATAAATAATATAAATATTGGCAATTTGTGAACTGTGAACGAGTCTTATGCAGTCGCTTAGGCTCAGTTGAACGTTCCTTAAATATTGTCAATTAATTGAGTTTATTGTTTGATCTATTGAACTGTAGACAAAAGCTAATCAGTTAATTGCTTGAATTTAAGCCTTGTCGATAGCTCTGCCTGAAACCTAGTTTCTTTTGATAGTCCCCAATGGCAACTTTTGACTACTAGAAAACTTTTAACAAAAGGCAGGTTAAAAATCAGGCGAGCGTGAAATGGCGATAAAACCGAGTGGACACACCTGTGTCCTTGCCCAAAAGTGCTGACAATTTAGCTTAAGTTTGTATATCTAAATCTAGCCTTTTGTTTGAGTTAGCTTTCATTTTGGTTACTTTGAAAAGTTTGAAATAAATAAAAAAAATAAAAAGAAGCAAACTTTAGTTTGGGTGCTACTTAATAAGTGAGCAATGTCTATTTTATAGATTAATCCTTAATAGCTTTTTATTGATTTGCTCTATTAAAGTAGCATGCACTGTTTTTTGGCTGATTCCATCATTGTTTACCTCGCTTGGTGCGTCTTTCGAATAAGAGAAAAGTAGCAGAGAGAGAGTGAGCTAGATATAGACATAGATGAACCTGAAGCACCCACTGTCAATCAGTTTGTTTTTCGGGCTCTCCCACGCCTGTCTAGTTGCCCATCTGTCTGTGCATATATATTTCTTGTGGTTTCACGTTTTCTCAATTTCCAGTCATTAACTTTACAATTTGCATGCAGCTTTTGTAATTGATGTTTTCGTTTTTATTATCATTTGTTTTTGTAGCTGTTTTGCCATTTTTGCGGTTTCCCTGGCACCGCACACACGCCCCTATTTGTTTTCAATTAGTTGAATCGAAAGTGAAAACATGAAAGTGTGAGTTCAAATTGATTTGCCAAGCAAAAGCCACATCGATTAGAGCATTCAGCATGCAGCTTGATTAGCTCTAATGATTCGCTTGAGAGTGAAGCTTTATGCAACCGACTCTGACGGCGCCTCTGGAGTTTTCAGCTGCGGCAACTGCCCGCATCAGTTGACAAAAAACAGTTTTATAAACTCTCAGCAAGCAGGCCACAAAATTTAAAACATATTGAGCAAATGACGCATATAATTGAGACTACACTGTACGAAAAACTTGTGAAGGATAAAAAAGTGAGAAATAATCAAGTAAACGAAACTTTTTTTAAATCAAAAAAATATATATATATTTGTAATTTATATTAACATATGAAATGTTTCTTTTATTTAATAAGTAATAATATTTATTATTCTAACTGAAATTTATGTATTTAAATTGGGTCTTAGCGACCTTTCTTATATTTCAACTTGACACACAAAATGTGGTTGAATCATTAGCCAACTTGTTAACAATCAACAAATAAGTGACCCAAAGTCTGCTTAATATACAATATAAAAACTTAACGACCCTTTGGGGGCGTGACAAAATAAACATAAGTAGCATCTCTCATAGTATTAAAGCCTAAGCCGAAATATTTGACAGTTATGTTACTGCAGAAATGGTTTAATGGCTTTTGCACCAGACAGTCACTGCCAGCCATAATAATACTTGTTATATTTTATATATATATATATACACATATTTATCTCTTAACACTTTGCTTGTTATTAATGTTTGGCATTGTTTTTGGCTATTTTATTATTGATATAATTGTTTGATTGTATTTGCTTTATTTTCGGTAATATAATTAAACGGAATTATTGTATTTGCCTTAATTATGCCGCGTTTGATGTTTGTATTTTATTTTATTTGCTTTTGGCAAAGGCAATAAAAAAGCCAACCACAAATAATAATTCCAAACGACTTTAAATTTATTTCGATTTAGCTGTTGTCGCTTTATCAAATAATAAATAAAAAACATATTTATGTATTTACGGTTTGCATTACGCAATTAGTTGGTGCCTAATTAAATCGAACTGTAATTTGTGGTTTTGCAAATTGGGATTTTGTGGAGCACGAAATCTCGTCAGAGATTAATTTTACAACTATATTTATGCATCTTTATATATATATTTATTTGTGCCTTATATATATTTATATATATATATATGGTAATTCAGAGCATATTCATTTGGTGCAAATGTGTGTAATAGGCAGCAATAGGCATGCCAGAACCAAGTAAGTATAACTACCTAGCCAAGTCCTTCCATGTGCTGCCTTAGCCACAGAACTTGATACTCAAACAGTATATGCCCTTAGTTGTATACTCCTCTATACCAGAGGCTTTACCTAGTACGAGTTTATAATTTCTAATGAATACGTCAATTTTATTTATTTGGGTTTTTGAATACCTCCCACTAAAATATTTTAAATACTCGAGGCTGGCACTTTGGCTAACACACACATTTGCATGTCATTAATAAGTTTTAAAAATATAATTAAGAAAGGGCGTTTTAAAGTCTACAAAGGCATCCAACATTTGATTTCCATTAGCTTAGCTCTGAGTGTTTTTATGGGTGCACATATGCATAAGAGAAGCTTAGAATGTGCGGAATATCAGTTCTGCGCGGGGCTCAGGGTATTTCCTAGTCGGGCACCAACTAGAGCACGCTTACTTGTTGGTAATATGTTTCATATAGTTTGTAAATAAATTATGTCAATTTTTTTTGTATGTATATATATATATATATATATTTTATTTTATATATGTTATAGTTAAAAACTGTAAAGATTTAATTTGCTACACGCACACATAGACACTTATATAGAAGCTATTTGAATATTTGTTCCATGGCAAATCAAGCCTTCGCAAAAGCTAAAGCTTTAGCAGCTCAGATCTTACACCATCATTTCAAATATATATGTATACTGCAACACAACAATGAGATTTCTTTGGCTAACGGGTAATGCACAATTGTTAATTTATAAATATTAAAGCATAAATTTATAAATATTTGTTAAATATCTGCAGTTTTGCTTGGAATATTGCAGCTTTCGGCTGCTGCTTACGTACGTCAAAGATATCCGCTTTTAATAATTGGTCCAGTTATCTAGATTTATTGCTTTACAGTATGCTTAAATAAAGTATTGACATATATATATATACATATATATATATGTGTGTGTGTGTGTTAATGAATGAGATTTGTTGTTATTTGTAATGTATGTGCGAAAATAATAAAATTGGGAATTTCTAGTTTTCGGTCAGCTTAAGATTTAGTACAGATATATATAGTTTAGGCATCCATAATAACGGTAGGTAAATTTGTCAATATGCATATCAACTACTATTTTCTATAGATAGATATTTACATATATCTATATGTTAATGTAAAATAATCTTAAGCACATCATAAAAAAGCCCTTTTTATGACAATTATGTATATATCTTGATTTTTATGTAGGTCTCACTCTATAGAGCGAGCTAGTTTCGCATATGCAATGCTTCTCCTTATAAAGCTTAAGTTATTTGACTTCAGCAATCTGTTGTCGCAGTCATTGAGATGTTCTCACAGACGTGTCAACATGCAAATTGATATGTGTAGAATGACAATACATAAATCCATATTATTGATGGGCAAATTATTGCTGCGATCACACACAGACGCAGCAGGCGAATAAAAGCTAAATCGTTTTTTATTTGCCGAACGTGTTTAAATCACATCTGTTAATGATATGCTCCCAGACGGCGGATGAGCCCGGCCACGACTGCCAACATATCTGTGGCTCAGCTTTTGCCTCTGCCACTGATCAATGGATGTGGTCTATGGATGTTCCCTTCACCTCTCTCCAGCTGCCGCTGCTTCCGTCGGCTACATTGTCTTGTGGTTGAGTCGAGTTGGTTTTTGTTTTGTTTTGTATTGTTTTTCTTTTTTTTTTGTCGCCTTCAAGTTTACAGCGATTCGTAACTTCATTCATAAAACTTGTTGTAGCTGTCGCTTCCTCTTTGTAAGTGATTTTTTTCATCCACCACCTCCTTTTGGTGCTTTACCACTTTGTTACTCTAGCTGGGAGTATTAAGTTTGTCATGTGATTCGATTTTTAGAATACATATAGTTTTTTACATTTTTCTCTTAACTTTTGTATGAGATTCATATTTGTTTTATCATTTTTTGTAAACAATTTTCAAAACAATTGCCAAACAGTGATTAAAAATGCTCAAGAATACATTTCAAGAAGAGCTCTTCACCTGTAACTACTTATAATATATGAAGCGTTTGCTTTTCCGCCTAGAGTATTCAAGTTTCGACTTGTTTATGTAGCCTTTTCCTCTTTTGTTTTTATACAAATCCGGTCAGGGGCTCGATGGCTGGGAATAGCATGTGACTGCCATGCCCCAGTGAACAGTTGAGTTTGCTATAAGCCCAGTTATCAAGACAATTGTCAAATGAAAACAAGTCACAATGTTGCAGTCGGGCGTCATCGACTGTATAATACCCGTTCACAATAAAAAAGCAGTTTAAACCCATTTGCCAAATTTGTAGAGGGCTTTAGCAGTGATTTCACTGTCAAACTTTGGAAGATCTGAACTTCTTCTATGCACCAAGCCCCTTAGGATTGTAGATTTATGTTTATATATCATATTTCTTTGGTTGTCTTTTAGCCACTCCGAGCGTCTCGGTTATATCTACTGTTTTCGAAGTATTTCCCACAAAACGCATATACTCTCTACATTCTACATAAGCGAGTATAATAACACTATAACCCAGTGTTGAACAATGCTGTAATTAGAAGCTTTAATTGCTCAATGCCTTTTCTAATGCAATTTATTTATTGCCCATGCTGATCGGAATACATAATGTATATATAAGCATATTATATAAATATATATATAGAAGGTGTGTGTGTGTGTGTGTGTTTTAGCTTTGGATGTGGTCGTGTGCATTTACCTTAAGCTGCCTGTGCGTTTCTTCCTAGACTAATATGGCTTGGTCAGCTGGAGCATCGGCAGCCAAGTCTTCCAAGGCGGGAATCGCATTGGCAGGAGCGACAGGATTCGGCACATCGTCTTGTGGATTGCCGACAGCTTCAGCGTAAAAGGCATCATCGAGGGCTGGAGCATAATCATTAGCTGAAGCTGGACCACGGATTGATGGATCGATAGCCTCAGCATTTTGACTGAAGCCTTCATCATTGGCCTCCAACTTGGGTGACTTGGGATCTATAGCGAGGTTTGACTTGGATACGCCTGGATTGGCCATTGGCGCCGCCGGGTCGGCAACAGGCGCCTCGGGATTGGGCACAGGCGCCTCGGGATTGGGCACAGGCGCCTCGGGATTGGCAACGGGTGCTTCCGGATTTGGCGGCGGCACCGGCGTGCCGTAAGCGCTGTGCAACACCGCAAGTGTCACCACTGTAAGAATCACCGAGACTATTTATAGTTTATTATACGTTTGGCTGGATCCATTTGTTACTTTACCGCATGCAAACAGAACAGCTGCTAGAAATTTCATGTTCTTCTTACGAAAGGCCTCTGAATGCTGCCCAGCATCGGGCCATTCGCTTTTATACACGCAAATGCAGCCACTTCGGCTCGGTCCAACTGCTGTGGCAATAATCAATTAAGGTTTACAGCTCGTCATAATTACTGATAAGATAAACACTAAATTGGGCCTTGCGAAAGGGCATTTGGTTACGCTCGACTGAAAAGTCATTTCCATTACATTCAATTATGATAAGAAACAGAAGCAGAAACAGAAGCTCTCCTTGGACTTGTTCAAATTTGAAATGAGAAGCGGAAAATGCAGAAAATTCAGAAGAGGCGGGTGGAGCCAAAAATATTTTAAATAACACTAGAGAATATGCTTGAGAGCTAGAAGAAGCAATCCAGCAGATATTATAGCAGCTTGAATATTACAAGAGCTAGAATTATCAGCTCTACTCTGTGGCTTCCTTTGATAATATACAGACTTGAGCCATTTCCCTCCCTTTACCTTATATTTGCAAAGTATTTCTAGTAGCAGAGGCATTAAAAAAGTGCATCTATAATAAGAAATATGTGTGTGTGAATGAAATTCTATAAGAGAGGCATAGACTAATTGCTGAGGTAATGCAGCTCTGAGCAGTGTTCAGGGTACTTTCTAGTCGGGCACTCCCCGACTTAAGATTAAGTAGACTTCACAGCAATTAAAACCTCTCTAATAGCTATACCCAACTTGATTTTTATTTAACATATAACCGATCATAAACAATGGCCTTTTAAATATCGCCAGAGATCTTGTATGGATGCTTGTGAGTTGTGGTCTCATGATTCCATGGCTCCTTGATGGTCATTGCATCTGTAGGCAAGGCCGAAACGTAATCATAAGCTGACAGCTGGCTGAGCAGCACAACTTTAATGATAGAGAATAGACATTGCTTAGTTAGAAAAAAGGTTGCTGCTAATAGGGGCAGCCGAGGGGGCAGGTGGCAGAACTTACTCAAGCAAGCCAAGAGCAACGATATGAATTTCATTTCCGAGCAGTGACTGAGCAGCAAATGCGTTTCATGTGTTTCTTTGGCCCTTTATATGACATTTTCATAGCGTTCGTTGCTATAAAATCAATTGAAACACTTTACTTTTTATAGCAATCAACTTTTATGACGCCAAACTGTTTACAGTTTGCAGCTTGAGGGGTAAAAGACATGCAAATTGTTATTGGTAGAGCAACGGAAATATTTATTCTTTAAAATATTTAAAATTTTTACATTTATCTAATTTATCTGTGAAAAAAAAAAAACAAAATTATCAATGAAATTTTTTTTTTATTTTTTTTTACAATTATGAAATCATTAAAAGAAAAGAAAAGCGGGAAAGTGTCTGTTTTCTTCTTTTGCTGTGGTAAATATTCTGTCCTTTAAGTTTTTCTATGATATTACTTTCGATTCGAAGCATTTGATGTTTTATTCTCAGGCGAAACCGAAGAATCATCAACTACGGCTTCAGGATACATAATGGAATGTTGATTTGAAGAGCCCAACAGTCGTTTCTTTGGATTTCTATTGACTCCACTTGCTCGACGATCATATCCCAATATTGCCAATTGCCTTCTTATATACTCTGGTAAGGAGTCGTCTACATAAGTTGGAAAAGGTTTTGCGGAATTGGTTGATATGGAGACTTGACTATTCAATTTTCCTCTATCGAAATTTGCCTGTCTGACTGCCTCACTTGCTTGTTCATCAGTCTGACCTGAATTAACGACATTTACCAAGCCTGTTTCGAAGATAGTCTTGGCCGTTGAATCTTGATTGTTGACAATAGCCCAAAGGTTGGGACTGCCCGATCCCGAATTAGCCCGGACTTCATTAATTTGACTCACAATGCTATTTGCAACAGCTTGCTCTTCAGTCAGAGCAGCATCGCTAGTCACGCCCCTTGTGTGTGTTGCACTGCCATCAGCCTGTTCCGATTGCGGTGTCTCATTTTCTGTTTCAGCTCTTGTTTGTGTTGCTAAATTTTCACTTTCAGTAGTTGTTTCTGGCAAGACAATCTTCTCTGGCCTTTCTCCGTCAGAGCCCATATTTGCATAGACATAGACAGGGTTGATCACGGGATTTAGGATGACAAGACGTTGGCTTAAAAGTGAGCTTACATCTGTCAAATTGCTTCCCCCAGAAAATATTTTAATCCACCTGTTTTCAGTCGTCGATCCAGCTGAAGTACTCTCCTCTTGGGGTGCATACTGGGCTCCCTCATTGAAAAGTGCATTTATCTCAGATACTCCATTCAGAAGTGCTCTCGAATGCTCTTTCTGCTCCTCGTTCAAGGAATCCACATTCTCTTGATATTTTCTTTGGAGATAGGCATATAGGGAAGCTACACCGTGCTTAACAAACTCTGTTACATTTTCGCTGTTCTGTTCGAGTCCGAGATCTGTACCAAAATTCTGTTGGTCTTTATATTTGAGATGCACATATAGTTCAGATACACCTTCTAGAACTGCTTTCAAATTTTGCTTCTGCTCTCTACTCAAGGAATCGAAATGCTGTTGATGATTAGCTTTGATATATGCATATAGCTCATCTAAAAGTTGTTTTCGAACTGTATTGAAATCGTCTTTCCCTTCCTCGTCGGAGTTATCCGAATTCTCTTCGTCTTCATCTTCATCTTCATCTGAGGCATTTTGATACAGGTCGGATAGAACTTCTCTTAGAACTATATTGAAATTGTATTTCTTTTTCGGTTGAACGTTGGCTGTGTTAGGATATAGCCTAGACAGAAATCTTTGAAGTGTAGTTAGTTGTTGGTTCTCTTGCGCTTCCTCGAACAAGTTATCCGAAGTTTCTTGATCATCATATTCATCTTCATCTTCATCTTCATCTTCATCTGTGAGGTTTAGATCGTCCGAATAATCCCAACTATAGTCATCTTCATCCGGGGGATCTGAATATAGGTCAGATAGGCTCTCGCTTAGAACTTTTCTAAAAAAGTCTTCCTGCTGCTTTTTAAGTGATTGCTGCCGACGATTAGCCGCGATATTTGCAATCAGTTCAGATACAACTTCCCTTAGAGCTGTATTTTTCAGTCGAGCGTTAACTTTGATTGAATTTAGCCTATATAGAGATTTTTTCAGTTTAGCTTGAAGTTGGTTTTTTCTTCCGTTGAAATATCTTTCCTGTGCCTCGTCCAAGATACTCCAGTTAGGGTAAGAATCGAAGTCATAATCATCATCTGTGGGCTTATTTGGGTTATCCCAATTATAGTCATCATCAGTTGGGAGACGTGGATATGTGTCAATCGGTTCAGATAAATCTTTTAGAATTTTGTATTTCGTTTTCTGTAGAGCGTGAATATTGATAGAAAATAGGCTAGATAGAGTTTCTTGTAGGTGTACTACAACTTTTTTTAAAAAATCCTTCGCTTTCTTTGTAAATGATCGCTGCCGATATATGATAGGATATATCCTACGTAGAGATTTTTTCAAGTTAGCTTGAAGTTGGTTTTTTCTGTGGGGGTAAGAATCGAAGTCATATTCATCATCTGTGGGATCCCAACCGTCGTCATCATCAGTTGGGGGACGTGGATATAGGTCAGATAGAGTCTCGGTTAGAATTTTTCTAAAAACGTCTTTCTGCTGCTCCTTAAGCGATTTCTGTCGACGATTATCCGCGATATTTGCAATCAGTTCAGATACAAATTCTCTTAGAACTGTATTGAAGTTGTATTTCTTTTTCTGTTCAGCGGAAACATTGATGGGATATAGCCTAGACAGAGCTTTTTTTAGTTTTGCTAGACGTTGGTTTTTTTGCTCTTCCTCGTACAAGTTATCCGAATCCGAATCCGTTAAATATAGATTTGCATTGGAATTGTATTTCTTTTTCTTTTGAGTGTTAACTTTCTTATTATATAGCTTAGATAGAGCTTTTCTCAGTTGTGCTAGAAGTGGGTTTTGACTTGCATTGGAGTTTTCTTTCTCTTCCTCGTCGAAGTTATCCGAATTCTCTTCATTTTCATCTTCATCAACAATTTCTTTAGTCGATCTCAAGTTCTTTCGCCTATTATCTGTGACATTTGCGATCAGTTCAGATACAAATTCCTTTAGAGCTGGATTGATTCTGTATATCGACTGCTTTTTCTGTTTGAAAAATGAATGTAGCTTAGACATGACTTTTTTAAAAAGTGGTTTGAAATTCCGTTGATAGCTATCTTTGAGATGTTTATATATTTTATGTAAAGCTTTAGCAGTTGCATTCAAAGTTCCTTCCTGTTGCTCGTTCACGGAATCCACGTTCCATTTGGGATAAACCTGTTTTTGAATTTTACGTAGATCTTCATTTTGAACTTTATCCACATCTTCGTCCTGTTGATCGACCTGTTGAGCATCGCCTTTGATATATGCATACAGTTGGGAGACCCTTCTCATAGCTGATTGCAAATTGTCCATCTGTAGCTCTTGCAACAACTGTTGAGCAGTATTGTTGAGATATACGGATAGGTTGGACAGAGCTTTTGTTAAATTCTTAGCATTTTCCTCGTTCAGCTCATCCCAGTTCACAGTTTTGCATAGAGGGCAATTTTTTGGTTCAATCACTAACGGTTTTGTATATCCAATTCCATTTTTTGGTGGGTTAGGCAACACCTCTTGCGACTCTTGACCTCTTTCATTGTAGTTTTCACTCTCAGCCGATCCTTGTGAATCCTCAATTGAGTTATCGGCTGAACATAAAGTGTACGCTATATCGAGTATTATTATTAAATGTAATCACTTTGTTATATCTGTAGTATTTTTGGTACTCACCGATGACTTGGAAGAGCAGTAGCTTGTATAGAATCATCATTGCCACCTGTTGAGATGTGACTCTGCCTTTTCCATTTGTCATTCTTGGTTTTGTAGCCTTTGCTGGATTAAAGCGTGCTAATTTTATTTTATTTTCGTTATGGCTGGGTGTTCAATCTGATTTAGATGCTATTTGAGATGGATGTGGCTGGAATTAAGGTATTTGCTACGCCTGCCACATTCGCTATATGTTTGTACTTCTTATATAACTTCTCTGATTTGCAAGTGT